CATGGGTGAACTATTGACTTGGAGCAGTGACCCAAGCCATATTCCATTAAGTTCTATCAGCAGGTAGAGTTTCCCCTATGTTATATCCAAGCCCTGATTTGCCTATAATGGCAAAACTCCAAGCTTTCAAATCTCTGTTGGTACGATTACATTAAGAGCAGCAAAAGGAACAGACAGAGCATCAGTCCCAAAATACCTGTTTAGAGCTTGCTATGGTTTCTATAAAGAGTCAGCTACTTTTTAAAGTAGATGTTGAAGTAATTCTGTCAGCACTCAGAATTCAAAGATAATTGAGAAATGCAGAGGAAGACACAAACATATTTGGTATGTGAGGTGAAATGTTGCTTTTATCCTACTGTAGATATTGCTATGTGAAGTCTCCAAGGACCTGAAATGAGTATATTTTCAAAAGGCTCAGTTTGGGGCCATTCTATTACTACCTTGCAAACACATCATATAAACACAAAACCTGGTTAAGCTGTTTTCCTGATAGTGTAGGCTGTAATTGAGACTTAAAAGTTATGTTTGCTGACTGATTAAGAATGTGGTGGTAGTTCACAAGAATTAATTCTCTACTTTTGACATTGATCTTTGTTATTAATTACATTAGGATGGACTCTTGGCCTTCTTATACAAATTATAGCAATACCCAGTACAGTCTGTAGAAGAACTGAGAGTGAATTCTTTATGAACATACAGCTCTCAGTTATCTGGACAACTTTGACTACACCATGGAGTAGAGATGGACATAGCTGGCTTTGTGCAGGGCCTGTTTGGTTCTTGCTGGGTTTATAAACCCAAAGCAGGACAGATGTACTGCTCCCAGGGTCTGCTCGGGTCAGACATCAGTTCAACTGTTCTTCCACAATCTCTAGCACATGGTATTCAATATCTAAACATGGTGAACTCAGTTCTGTGAGCTGAGCTTAATGTTTGCAGGCATCAGCGTAAGGTCTTGATGTAGCTGGTGCTACCAAGTCACCTTCCATTTGCACATTCCTCACTAAACGTGATCCACTCCCAAACTGTCTCTGATTTGGGAGAGTCTATGATAGTTTCAAAATACCACTATAAGCACCACTAAAGAAAGACCCTTAAAGAATTTTATGTTCTACTGAGACATTCAGAGCAAATAAAATATTTCCAGAGGATTGGATTCATTTTTCTACTGAATATTAATCTGCATTCACCATATAAACCAGACCAATTACAGAACCATGCCAGCTTGGGCAGTGTACAAAAAAAAAAAAAGGGGGAATGTTCTCACTGATTAATTTAACCTCCCATTGAAGCCACATACCTTCTGGCACTGACCAAAGCTAAAGGGTTCACTGGGCAAAACACAATCTTTATATGAATGAAGTCTTAATTCCAAAATAAATATTGATTTATTTTCTGTTTTGTTTACAAAGCGATTGTATATTTTTAGAGCTATTTTTAAATGTTCCTTCAGAAATTGAAAAGCTATCCACAATATCCTCTCCACCCAAGAGCCCTCAAGATAAACACCCCACAAACAGCTCGCTGTTCTTTGTAGTTGTAGTTTGGCAGATGGCAAATCCATTTTTTTTTTATATTAGACCAACATCTTTTCCCAGCCTACCTGCAGTTTCTTTAACAGAAGACTAAAAGGCAGAGGCTTATGAAAGTATACTCTTTCCTCTCAAAATATTGATTTAAACACAACTTTAAAATACCAATCCCCTATGAAGATGGCTGCCAATATGCGACTGAAAATGCACCTCTCTTCCTCCTCACAACTCTCTTCAGGTGTCTTGAGAGAAGCTAGTTATGTTTTAACATTGACCAGTGCTGTCAACAAGTGAGGCCAGGCAGGATCTCACATTCCTACCCTATTCCCAGTGAAAACTCTTGTATAGAAAGGTATCTTTTCCTTAAAAAAAATAAAAAAAAATCCAAATAAATCACAGGATGCAACAACAAACACCTCAATGCTGTATTTTATCCATCAATGTGTTTCATTCCTATACTCGAGAAGATCACTTGTGAGGACAGAAGAAAGGTAACTGTGTAGGATGATTGAATCCTTGAGCTTTTTGTCAAGAATGTCAGCAAGGATAAGAAAGATCTTTCAAAATGTATAAATGCTTTCTTGGAATTACATAAAAAATCTCAGGAACGTAAATGGATTATTCTGAATATCTACTTTGATACAAGGGAATAGCCTGATCATCAACAGCACTTTGTATGTGTTAAATCCATACCAGACTGCTACATCTTACATTGGAGAACATGCTAGGCTGTATTGAATCCACTAAATCTATCATAAAAACATCATTTTAAACCAGTATTGTTAATGTTCTAGCTCCACAGACAGAAAATCACCTTTCACAGTTAACGTAGTTGTTCAGTTTCACTTACATGTGAAAAATGTAAAAGCAGTAAACAGAAAAGCAGTTAACGTAGTTGTTCGGTTTCACTTACGGTATCTGGAAGCAAAAACTATGTGAAAAATGTAAAAGCAGTAAACAGAAAAACTCTCTTTCTCCCTCTACCTTTCAACCACTTTTTATTGGTAAAAAAGAGTTCACGTGTTTTGGAGGAAGAATCCCATTTGGTTTTGTATTTTGACGCTATATGTGAACATCATTTGGAAGAACTCAGTGAAGAACAAATATTCTCCATGATTATTTAGTGATATTACAAGTTAGAAAGTAGAATAATTTTCTATATTAAAAAAGTACCTTGGCCTTCAGCTATAATAAAATTAAGAAGTTCTGAATAACTATCAAGAGTTATCTATCAATGGGATATAACCAAGTATTTTTTGTCTTAAATATTTTGTTTCAATTCCGTACATTTTATTTGAATAAATATGTTTACCTACCAGAACAGCTGGAATTATGACCATCTAGTGAAATGTTTTGACTTGTAAAAAAGTACATTCTTTCAAGAACTTTGTCTCTCATGGACAGAGAAGTACTGCTTTTTATTATTTAAAAGTAAGAAGGGAAATGCTTTTCTAGCTTCAGAGGTTTGTAACAATACTGCACAGTGTTTTAATATATCTACATTCTTTTCAATCACTGTAATGGATCCAAAGCTGCAATCTACATTTAAAATGTTTATTCACACAATACCTACTTTTAATGATATTTTTGAAATGCAATTATTTTTTAAAATAAACATGTATGAATCTAGGATACGTTCCCGACTAGTAAAAATGAATGAACAAATTTAACAAGGTTATGGTTGTAACTTAGTACACTTTCACAGTTATACTGACAAATGCAATTTCAACTTCTACAAAAATCTGAGAATAATCAGAAGAGTCATCGTGGAAGATACTTACTACCTAACTTGATTTCTGCACGTGGACAAGGCCATGTGCACCCATAGATTCACTGAACAGGGCTAAAGGGAAGCTACACAAGGGTCACAAGTTCAAATAAATTCTCTTAAACTCCTGTAATACGGAATCTTTCTACCGGTGGAACCCACAAATTTTCTGCGTGCCTTGTTTCACAGCTCCTTTGGCTTTTCATTGTTTTAGCTGTAACAACAGAAACATTTTTTGATGCATGACTGCCATCTCTTGGACTTCGACTAACACTACAATTTTCCAAGCCAGGGGATTGAAATGCTGTCTTCATACAGCATCTCCTGTTCTTCAAGAAGGTCCAGAAGCAATAGATTTATGCTGTACTTATTATCCATTTGATGTTCCGATATACACTTGTGCCTTACATAATATAGGAATTTATTGAGCATTCGTTATTGAAACAGAATTTTGAAACTATTTTTGCTTTATCTTGGAATATGCATCATAAAACATGAAAGCCCATAAATAAATCCCTTCAGCTCAGGCATTGCAACTTCCATTTTAGCTGTGCCTAGGGAAAATATTATTAGTGACTGCATGGCAGTGGAGCATGTCGTACAAGCATGTATTTATCCACAGGAATATGTGTGCACTTATATACACATATTTGTCTTTGTGATCAATCCCCTGGCCTAGACAATCAAACACAGAATCAAAGATACAACGTGCTCAGACCTCGCAGTACTGCATAGCTATGGGACTGTATAACCTAAACGAGAAGAAAAGAAATAATGCTTTTTATCTCTTTGTCTATGAGAAGTCAGTAAGTACAGAATTGCCCACTTCACCTCTGTCTGCAGGATGGCAGCTCTTTGCTCTTTAGCTGTAAGAGACTCTTTCAGAACTTCAATATGCTGCTTGCTGTCAGAGAACTGATTGGTGAGGGTCTCCAGCTTCGTCTGCAAGGCCAGCAGCTCGGTGTCTTTGCGTGACAGCTCCTGTTTCACCTGACCAATCTGAAAAAAAAAGAAAAGATGGTCAATGGGAAAAATAATTTATACCTTCCTCAAAAAAATAACTATAAATTCACAGAACTACCAACAAACAGTATGATACTCTGAACTTACAGAATCATAGAGTCACAGAATGGTTTGGGTTGGGAGGGACCTGAAAGCTCCTCCAGTTCCAACCCCCCTGCCAGCAGCAGGGACACCTTCCACTAGACCAGGTTGCTCAAAGCCTCATCCAACCTGGCCACAAACACTTCCAGGGAGGAGCAGCCACAGCTTCTCTGGACAACCTGGGACACTGGCTCACCACCCTCTGGGTGAAAAACTCCCTCCTCAGATCTCACCTAAATCTCCCCTCTCTCAGTTTCAAACCATCTCCCTTTGTCCTGTCACTCTCTGCCCATGGACAAAGTCTCTCTCCCTCCTGTTTCTAAGCTCCCTTCAGGCACTGGAAGGCTGCAGTGAGGTCTCCCTGGAGCCTTCTCTTCTCCAAGCTCAACAAGCCCAACTCCCTTAACCTCTCTCCAGCAGAGAGGGGCTAAAGCCCTCTGACCATCTTCCTGGCTCTCCTCTGGACCTGCTCCAACAACTCAACATACTTATCCTACAGAACTGTGAAGTTTTCAGTTATCTTGAATGGAAGGTCAGCAAAATTTTGTGTGATATAAGCAAAAGATACGAGGAAAAAGAGGGGGGAGCAATAGCATCATTTTTTTAAGAGAGCTTCTTTTTAACAGTTACATCTATTCGTAGTCATCTTTCAAAGGACTGACCAAAACCAGTTACTTAACAGGGGTAAGTTTTTAATGAAGATGGAGCAGAACTGTAATAAGAAAATACCCTTACCTAGCAGTATCAGAAAAGATGAGATACCCAGAGGTCTCTCTCAGAAGCATGATGTTTGCTTTGTAACGTCAGAGTATGCTTACAGAGAATGCAAAGACACCTCTGCTCATCCCACTATTTACAAAACCAGCACTTCAGTCTTCTGTGAAATACGTCTTAACTTACGGCAGCTTCGTAAAGCAGGTGCAAATATACATCAAAACAACAGGAAAATTGTTTGTGGAACTGCACTTTGTTGAGAGCAATTTCCTAGATTTAATTTAGTGAATTAAATCAGTACAAAAATGTCAATTTATTTTAACGAATGTAGGTTGGATTATCATTTAAAAATACAAGCAGAAATGTTAAAAGTTAAGCATAGAAAGGAGATGAAATCTCATTCTGAGTGCAATCATCACTCAGGACAATTCTAATTAATATCTGAAGAATTTTTTTATTTTTTTTTTTAATTAAAGAGAATAGAGAAGTTTAAATTTGGATGTCCAAGTTTATAACCACCATTCTGGTTTGCCTCTGATACTTCTCACAGAATAAAACAGCAATACTTTACTTTTATAAATTATATAGCACAGGTGGACATATCTCTAAAAACTAAACAATTTTACACCTTTTTAACTTTAACAATTTTGTTTGTGACATTAAAAAGAAAAAATTCCCTCAATCCCAAAAGTATGTTGTACGATGCTTCAAAACAGAAATTAAAGGACATCTAAGTCTAAAAAAATTATCCATCCATTTTTGGGAAGATGTCAAGAACAAAATTAAATTTATACAGGTCATAATTTATATTTTTTTAAAAAATTTTTACTTTTAATTAGAATAAATGGTAGCACATTTCTACTAGCACATAGTAGTAGAAATAACTAAAGAGAAAAAGCTTGCGTAAATATGGTTTGACAACAATTGGGCAATTAAAGACAGAGAACTCTTTTACTGAAGAGTATTAAAATAGCATCAAATGTGCCATCAAGGACTGCTGTGTTCCAGCATGAAATAGCACACGTGAGGGGACAGGGAAGAGGGGAGTGGAAGAAAGAGGACACGTATCTTAAAAAACCTCACACAGACTAATCATTTAAAATGGAATAATAGGAAGGAGTATGAGAAGAATTTAATTTATAGAACTCTTCAATAGTTTATTGTTCACTTAATTCAAACATGGTAGGTTGTGGGGGGGTTTTTTTTCATTTTTTTTACTAAAAGCAAATATGTTCACAGTGATTTCACCACCTATTTGACCTTAGATATAACCTATTAACCACCTTAGATATAACCCATTAACCACCTTAGACACAAAAGTACTGATGTTAGCAGCGCTGTTTCTGCTGTCAGCTACTGGCCAGTACAACCAGTTGCACAAGACTGCTAGGAAAATACAAACTACTAGTTCTGTTTTCTGGAGTTCCTAAACTCAAACGTCTCCATAAAACATTTCAGGTGACACAATATTTTTTCCAAGTAGCAGGTAGCCTAAATTACAGTAAAACTCTCTCAAAGCAGTTTGGTTTTAATTTGAAAAGTTAAATTCTGTTTGGATTCATCTCAGGAGAGATGTTTACCCTAAATACTTGTGTTTTGGTGAAATGTTCTCATCTAAACACAACCACATTTCATTACATCAAAATTCCCCAGGAGCACCCTAAGATCACGTTCTCTAGAAATCCCCATTTGCCAACGTGCTAAAGCTCTTCAGGAAGAACACAGCAAGTACCACTCCGAGTCACAAGAGAAGTTAAGGCAACATTAAGTGCTCACATCTCCCTTCTCGGTGAGACGCTATGATCACTCAGCAAATGCACTAATTTCACAGCACAGGAACAACCTAAATTCATGCTGCTAAAAATCAAAAAATCTGTTTTAAAAAGCATTCAGCATCCAGCTTTTGGTAATTTTTTTTTTTTTGGGAAACGATGTTACACATATGTTTGCAAATTATTTTTTCTTCTATTAAAGAAAGCAAATCTCTTTGAAAGCATGGCCCCAAAATGGGTGCTGAATACTTTTGAAAATCTGCTTCGAAAGAGTAAGTTACTGATAAAACAGCTCATACTGTTAAAATAAATAAAATAACAGTAACAAAATAAATATAGACGTTCAGTAGAAGAGTGTTGTTACGGACACCAAAACTATGTGAATAAAAAGGTAGCTACAAGGCTGAGCAGGCTGTTAGTTCTACTGTTATATCAGGTCATAAAGAAAGGAAGAGAAGAAAAGCTACCCCCAAAAGCCAGACAGCTAGCAAGCCCCAGTGAATGGCCACTGCACACAAAAGATAAATCTTACTGCAGAGACCTCGGCCTGGAGACCAGCCACTCTTTTTTTCAGGTCCTCCCCTTGAGCCTCTTTGGCACTTAGCTCTTCCTTCAGTTGCTCTACCTGTCACGACATTGTTATGCTTTTAAATATTTAGCATTTGTCAGCTTCTAGTCAGCCTGTTTCAATCCAAGTAACTACAAGCGACAAAGAAATGAAGAGAAGGCTCAACAACTGGTCACTCATTTTCTCTTCCGCTCT